ATTACTGAGTTATCGCGGATTAAATAAAAGAATTATTTTGACTTTAATTGCTCATAACTCCATTAAAAATTGTCGTATCGTATAATTTAAAAAAGAGATTTTTAAAGCTGAAACTTTACTCTATCAAGATATATTTATATTGTTGGTAAGAAAGTAATTGCGGTTTTTACTGATAGACGTCTTTTAAAAAAACGCGACGACTTTTTACTTAACCTAATATTAAAATACTTACAAATATGTACTATATAGTGCTTGTTTTATTCTCAGGAGAATTATTGGGCCATAGACCTTTATTACCTGGTAGATCAGAAATCGCACAATTAGAGTTAATTGTGGATTTGTTGGGTACACCCAGCGAAGCTATTTGGCCAGAATTTAATTCCTTACCAGCGCTACAGAATTTTACACTTAAACAGCAACCATATAATAATTTGAAACAAAGATTCCCCTGGTTGAGTGCTGCTGGTCTTAGATTATTGAATTTCTTATTTATGTATGATCCAAAAAAGAGAGCAACTGCCGAAGAATGTTTGCAGAGTAGCTACTTCAAAGAAGCTCCTTTACGTTAGTATTATTTAAACTTATTAAGAATTTTAATCATGACGTATATATGAATACATCAAATACAATAGAGAATGCCAAGATCGGTCAAATTTTGGATATTACAAATAATACATTGTATATTCTTTTTATTAAATCAATTTATTCCAGATATAATTGCAAGTCGATAACATTCGGTTTCAACCGTAATTATTCTGAAAAAATATTGCCTCAGCCAGGATTCGAACTTGGGACCTCTCAATTTTCCGGGAAGAGTGTTCACAATAAATTTCTTTCTTTCTTTCTTCCTAATTTAATTTAGGGGGGATTATTACCGTTTCAGAATGATTGTGTTGAAACCGAATGTTATCGGCTCGCAATTATATCTGGAATACATTTATTTAATAAAAAGAATATATAATGTATTATTTGTAACATCCAAAATTTGACCGATCTTGGCGTTCTCTATCGTATTTGATTATTTAGATTTCTCTCAGTAAAAAATTGTTTTTTTACTGTAGTTAATAATTCAAATTATTTATTTAACAGATTGATTTGATATGTTGTAGCTTGCGATCCAAAACTAATGCCTACCTTCCCACAACATAGAAACATGAAAAAGGCGGCTGCGCAGAAAGAAAATCGTGAGCAAGAACCTACTGTTACCGACCAAACCAATAATCTACCGGCAATTTCAGATTTGGTATGTTTTATAAGAGAATAATACATAATGATAATATATAATGATTACAAGGGGAAGACTAGAAGCATGTTTTTGAAATGGATTTAAAATGCTTTTAAAGTAATTTGTTGCAAAAATTTCTTTGTGTGCTAATATTAAAATAAAAACCTTAAACTCTTAACTTCAGATATTTCTTGATCTCAGGGAAAAGTGGAAAAATGTTAAGTAATATAATATTTCAAAAGTAATCAACATATTTATCCCATTCAGTACAAATACAGTTCGGATTAATGTAAACTTGTGTTGCTGTAATTGTATTGTTGAAGTAGTGATGGAAATACATTAATCCAAATTGTATTTATATACATGGGATAAAAATTGATTAATCTTAAATATGTAATATTCAACTTTTTTCTCTTTTCCCTGAGAACATTTTGTTAAGTGATTAATCAATTCGATGACATCAAAATTTTTGTTTATTTTTATAAAACTAAGATATTTTAATCCACACAGCACTCTATCTAAGGAATAGCCTAAGAATATAGAAACTATATGTTTCACGGATTATCTCCGTGTCTGTATTCATTCTTGGAATGTCAACATTTCGTGAATGTTGGTTTACTCAGGGCAATGAGCAGCCTGATGTTTCTTGGGAATGTTTGTAGGATACCCCTTGGAGGTATTGTGTGGGAAATTCTTAATTTTGTTAAGGGGATCTTAAAGTCGTCCTGTTTTACCACGATTATGTTTTAGGAAAAAGATCCGAATTTCACGGATTGTAAAATTTTTTTTACAGAATTAAAGAATGCATTAAAAGAAATCCCGGGAAACACAATTTTACGAGAAAATCGGAAAAAAATTAAAAAATTCACTTTTTCTGGCACGTACAACTGTCACCTGAAGTTAACAGTTTGCTTGATATAAAAGCAAAGCATTTTACAGCTTGTAGATGAAAAATAAGTGTGAGTTTGACTTGAACGAACAATACTGAGTTTGTGGAATTAATCAGTGAAATATATTTATTTATTTTGTTTTTGTTACATTCACACGAGAATAAAAAGATTTCTGTGCACCCGAACAGCTGGTATTGGTTCTGGCTTTTTTTATATATTTCACTGATAGATTCTTTCGAGCCTCATTTCATACATTTGTGGAATTAAGATTTAAAGCGTAGAAAAAAATATTTCTCCTAAAACGAAATTACGTGCTTTGTAAAGACTTACTTTTTTTCTCTTACAGATTCGAAAATCCTAGAAAAAGATTTTCCAATCTGTAAAAGAATATTAGTATTGGTATGTTTATTGATTTCCTTTAGTCCGGATGTATATAATTGTTTTAAACTTTAAGAAATTGATAAATTAGTTGAATGTAAAAAGAATAATTAAGTATGATTCGACATGATTTCTTATAGCTCAAAGCTTAAAAACCTATTGATCCGGGCTTAGGATTACAAATATGTAATCCCGAGTCATCTCGCTATTACACACTTCCATAATAAATTGATCCTAATTAAGTACACTAACATTAAAAAATTAAAAGATTATAAGAAATAAGCAAACAAAATAGACAGAAAATACGAAGTAAACAAAAGAAATAAATCAGTTGAAATCCCAAATTACAAAAAAAAAACAGAACAGATAATAAGTGACATAGATTAATGCATATAAATAATAAGTCTTAACAGTCCGATCTGCGCTTCTTCCTCTCTCTCTCTCTCTCTCTCTCTCTCTCATTCATTCTTTCTTTCTTTCACTCCTTTATTTCATTCTCTTTCTCCTCTCTCGTTTTATCTTCTCTTTCTTGCTCTCTTTCCAATTCTATCAATCACACTTCTCTTTCCCCATCTTCTCTCAGCATCCTTTCGACTATCCCCTATCAGCTCTCCCCATCCCTTCATTCCCAGTCTCTATACCTCTCCCATATATATTCCCATGACTCTATACTCGCACATCCTATATTTTCTTTTCTCCTCTCCTTACTGGTACCTCCCTTTATTCATCTCGTTCCCTAGTCTAAACCGAATTATCCTTTTCCATCTATTCTCTCTCTATCCTTTTTTCAGATATGTTAAAATATCCTCTTCTTTTTTCTTCTCACACCATCTATTGTATTTAGATCCCTCTATCTTTTCTCATCTTTCTTCCCTTTGAATTTATTCCTCCCTTCTTTCGAGTTTTTTAAGTAGTTCTTTTATTCCTCCTTTCTCACATTCCCTCTGCCTTATCCCTTCCCTTTCCTCTTTCTACCACTTAAATACTCCCTACCTCTCTCCTCTCTCTCTCTCTCCTTTATTTCTCTCCAATATTCTCGTGTTAAGCTACTTCCTCCTCCCTCTTCTTCCAATTTCTTTTCAAATTTCCATGCCCTCCTCATTGCATTCCTTCTTAATTTATCTCTTTTCTCATTTAGCTCTTCCCTCACCAAGTATCTCTCTCCCAGTATTTTCCTTTCCATCCTTAAGGCCTATCTTAAAAATCTTGTAATTTTTCCACTTTTTCCCTTTCCTCCCATTCCCATATTTCCACTCCATATCCTACTATTGGTCAAATCAATCTGTCAAAAAGCCATATTCTCTTTTCTCATTCCTTCCCTTCCCGATTCCCTATATCTGTCCCATCTCCGCCGCTATCTTTTTTATTCTTTCCTTTATATGTACCTCTTGGCCTCTATTCGTTTGTAGTATCCCAAGTACTTAAATTCCCTCACTTTCTCAATTCTTTTCCCTTCACTCATATTTCTTCCATCTTTCCCCTCCCTTTCTGAATCTCATGATTTTTATCTTCCATATTTAATTCCAGTCCTTTTCTTCCTAAATATTCTTCTAACCTCTCTATCATACTTCTTATTTCTCTTTCATTTTTCGCTAGCACCATATCGTCTGTTAATCCGTATATCCTTCTTACCACCTTTACTTCACCATTTCACTTTCCTCATCTTCTCTTCTAGATCCGTTATTAATATATTAAATAGCAGGTTGAGCGGACATCCCTGTCTTACTCCCTTTGCCGTCCAAAAATTTTCTCCCATGTCTTCCCCTAACCTTACTGCGCTCTTAGTTTCTCCTATCATTTCCCCCACTCTTCCTATCAATTCTTCTCTTAACCCTCTCTTTCTCATCGAGAAGTTTAATACTACTTCCCTATCCATGTCAAAAGCCGTTTTGAAGTCCACATTGCTACCATCCCTCTCTCTTTTTTCGCAATCTATTTATTACAAAATTTAGCACGTATATGTCCATCGTCCCTTTTTCTTTCCTGAATCCGGTTTGATTATCCGGAATTAATAATTCTTTTTCTTTCATTTCCTCTCTTATTCTTTTTATTAGAATTGTTGTATATCTTGTAGAGGGTGGGCATCAATGTCATCCTTCTATATTCCTGCACTATTTCCCCTTTTCCCTTCTTTATAATTAGTACAGGGTGGTCCAAAAGTCCGTTAACATGTCATACGATGATAAAAAAGAAACTAGTTACATGTAAGAAAAAATGTTTATTTATTCTGAAAGTACACAGTTTGGGATTTTATTTCTTAAAAATAACATCGTCCATATGCGATCCTTCATTATTTTGACACTGCTGCAACCTGGAGCAGAAATTTTCAATGACCGACTGACAAGTGTTTCGGGAAATGTCACGCTCTATGTTGTTGGGATCCCGTGATGTTCTAGGTCGGCCAGATCGTGGTTTATCTATTGTTGAACCAGTTTCTTCAAATTTCTAGACCCATTTTTTAATCGACTGAATCGATGGAGCTTTATTTTTATGCTGTATATTGTAATGAGCGCAAAATTTTCGTTGCGCTACAGAAGAATCGTTGTTTCGATAGTACTCGCGTACGCAGAACGCACGTTGTTTCTCGTTGAATGACGCCATGGCACTAAATTCCCATCGACCGCTCTAACATTCCGTACCTCGCCCGCTCCACCTCTCCCTCGCTGCTCGACGCAGCTGCCGATTCAAATGTTAACGGACTTTTGGACCACCCTGTACTATAATTCCCTCATTCCGGCCATCTCTCTCCTTTCCACATCTTATTACAAAATTCCCAAGCCCAGTTCTCTAACTCCCCTCCCCCATATTTCCATATCTCGTTCGATATTCCATCTCCTGCCATCACCTTCCCATTTTTCAGTCTCCTCAAAACTTTCCTCAATTCTCTTCCTATCTTCCTCTTTCCGTTTATCTCTTTTCTTCCTTCTCTCCTCTAACTACTCTTACCTCAATCCCTTCTCATAAAATACTTTTCTCTTCTCTTTGATTAGTATCTTCCATGCTTGACTCTCTGTCTTCACTCCCTCCACTATTTTTAACCATCTTTTATTTTCTTCTTTTTTTCACATAAATCTCTGTATTCTCTTTTTTCTCTCTATATTTCTCCCTCTCCCCCACTCCTCTGCTCCATGCTTTTAGTTCTCTTCTCATTTTCCTCTTACATCTCCTACACTCCTCATCTCACCCCTTCTTTTCCTTTACTTCCCCTATAAGGTCCTTCTCCTTTACCTCTAATGCTTCTCTTATTTTTCTTCCTATCCATTCTAACTCCCCCTGTATGCTCCTGTCCCTCCATCTCACTCCTTCCAATTTATTTTTATAATAAATGTTTCTCTTCCCACCTCATTCCATATCCCTTTTCCCCCTTTTTTTCTTTTTCTCCTCTTTCCCTTCTTTCTTCTTATTCCTCTCTTTGGCCGGTATTCATAATCAGATCTTATATTCAAGACCGTCTTAAGTATGGTCTTAAGAAGTCATGAATCAATCAGAAGGCTGCATTAGCGTCTTAAGACATTACTTAAAACGGTTTTGAAATAAGAATCAACTATGAATATTGAATACTGACCTACGACCAGGAACAATTCTCTTGTACCTACGCCCTTACGACATGTTATATCTTGTCATGTAGACGAACGTTTATGACGCCAAGATGCATGTAGAAGCGGCGCACTTGCATACAGTTCAATTGCACACATCACTCATCGATCAATTTCTAGTAATTTTTAACTGTTTTACCAATAAGATTATATT